CCCCCCCCCCTCACGAGAGGTAAGCGCGCACCCTTGTGCAACCGATTCTGCTTTTCTCTTCGCCCGTCTCGCAATTTTCCGTCCGTCGAATATACGCTGCTGCGCGGGGTGTTGGATGTGGATCGGCGGTGGAATACATCCACGTGAAAATAAAAAATGTATGCCAATACGCGCGAAGTGCGAAGCCGAAACCGTTGTCGATCAATCGTACCCGCGATACCCTCCTCGCAATCAATCGCGGAGACGATTCGGTGTAGCGCAGATTCGCGTTCCATCAAAATCTGTCTTTGTCGTTACATTAGAAACGCGAGTGATTTTAGAAGAAGTGGTACGTACTTCTTCGTACTAGTCGTTTTAAATTTAATACGTTAATTATCAGTTAAATTTCTTATCAAAATTTAGTTGATATATGAAGGCTCGTGTGCGCTTGAAGAACTTTTATCTTTGCGCGAACTGAAATAGGATAAGATATGTTTTACATTATATACTGATAAAATTATAAAACCTATTGACGAATCCTTCATTTTTGATAAGTCGTAAAAATAATATGGTTTTTACAAAGGACAATTATACCATAATCATTTTATGATCGACTACGAGAATATCATACCCAATAATTTAAGACGCAATTCGACGTGTGACAGATAATAATACATTTTCCTTCCTCTTCAATAAATTTTATCGCATTATTCTTCATGAGAAAAGTCATATATAAATGATACTAATTTTGGATAGCAGGTCAAATGTATGCCATATCCGGTGGAGCCCAGGCCGCTCTCTCGGCCGTCATCGAAAGCATGCTCGAGGAATGCCTGCTGGATGTCAAGAACATAACTACGGTGGCTGATAAAAGCTGCGTCACCCCCGAAGAAATGGAGAAGGCATTAAGGAAGCTCTGCCTACGTTTAAACGCGCAGCCAAGCACGCCGAGTAAACAGAAAGTTAACACGCAGCGCGAAGATTCAAACTGAAAGTTTAGCGAAATGTTCTCGAGGAGATGCCTTCACGGTGCCAAACAATTCGAAAGACAGAGCGAGAAAGAGAGAGAGAGAGAGAGAAAGTTCTTGTGCTATCGTCTATATTGCTAATAAATGTCGAATTGTGCGAAAGTGCGGATCGTTCGCGAGCGGTCTCTAAACTTTATTGTCACTCGTTCATAATATTCACGTAGCATTTATTCGTATCGCGATTCTGTGCTTGAGAAAATTAAGAAAATTATTTTACTTTGTGAAACGTGTAAAGAACAATAGAGTAACTTTAAATAATTGAATTTTTATTTAAATAAAAAGAATAAGAGTGTAGTAACTTAAAGAATATTGTAATTTCTCTTGAAAGGTTTAGCTGAAGTACCTAAAAATTTAGTTAGATATTATAGATCTCAAAATAATTTTGTATTCTTATTCTGTTCATTAGAAATTGTAATAAATTCAAAAATATTATTAGGCACAAAAAACCGCCTTGATCGAATATGGCGTTTTTCACTTACGTTTAATCTCGTCGGTTTATTTTTACTTAATTATCTTGAGTGTTCTACATAATTATTTTGATAATTAAAAAAAAATATTTTCAAATGTACAGCAAATTAAATTGTTAGATACTTTAACAAAATCGTTGTTTTCGCATAATAAAATGAAAACAATTATATTTTACGTAATTTTAACTATCTAAAACCATGTATATAATATATTTATTGAAGAAACTATCATGCTATCGAGAGGCTAATATCTCCCGTAACATGTGTCGCGATTGTTTAAAGTGTAACAAGCATGTATCCATCAATAACAATTATTTGTTCCGCCTTTGACTTTGATTGAAATTCCTCTCATTTAATGTGACGAATTGCGTTACGAGGGCTCTTCTGTGTTCATCACGTTGAGAGCGGCCATCGTGACAATGGTCAAGCAGTTGTTGCGAATTTGCTGGCAATTCGTGCGACAAAGCGTTTCTCGCGTGACCGGGAATTTTCATTAAGCGACGCGCGATAAACTAAAAATAATTCTGTCAGGTATTGTCGAGCGTTAATGAACGGGGATATATATTTTTTTTCGCAGTCCAGTATATTTTTCACGTCTCGTTGATCTTGCGGTCGTCTCGCCGCCGACAATGAGAACTCGTGCAAAGGGTGAAATTCTCTCGTCTGCTCAATGTAACAAAATATACCTTCATTTTCGGGGATTAAAACTCCATTGTAAGTCTACGTATAAATTCAAAAACAAAGGAATAATGATATCATATTATATGATACATTCGCATTAACATGTTGCTTTGCGCAGGAAATTTTGTGGAGAATACACATATGCTACCTTTAATTCGGCATCGTGTAACTTTTACTTGCATGATAATTGACAAGCTCTGCAAAACAAATATAACAAACGGATATTCCTTTTTAAACAATATTTATATTATGTATGTTTTTTTCAATAGGTCCTTTCGAATTAATATCCTCAAAATTGTTTGCACCAAGATTGATATGTAAATATACATATAAAGTAAACATCCCTGCAATACTGCAATTATATATTGACATATACAATACTGTGTTATACATACTCGTATATACTATTTACGTAAAAAAACTTTATTCGTTTATATTATAATACTATTGATCTCAAATGTTTTTTTTAAATAATCGTTAAATACAACTAAATTATAACATTGTAATAAAAAAAATATTTAAGATTAATAATAATATTAAATCTGATGTAAAAGCAGAGAAAAAAGTTTCTTCGATTCAAAGATATTTCTTTGGGTGTTAAGTTACATGTACCTAGACAATAAATGCAAAAAGTGCGAGCAATGCGAATAGATTTATTTATCGTAACTGTCACACATTTAACGACATGTACCATCAAAGTGAGTATCTCTCTCTCTCATTACAACCAAAACCAACATCATTAAACCCACTATGATCTGTCGAGTGTACAACACGGACGTTATTGTGGTGATAGACCAAAAGCAGTGCATTTACTCAGACTTGACTGGCATGTCATCAAAGTTTTCTGTGTAAAGCTTGACATCAAATAAAAGCCATCTGAAAGAACGTCTCAATCCGTCCCGTGCCGGAAATGCTGTTTGAAATTATGTCTCACTAACGACGTTCCGCGCGGGCTCTCTAGAAGATGGTATTCTTAGATTGAAGTCTCGGCTGGATTCAGCCTCAAGAATGCATTTTGTTCACGTCACTCCGATGACGCCACGGCCAAGATAGTACGGTCCCTTTCCCGCGTAAAGTCCGAGAGAAAAACAGCGGCGCACGAAATATCACCGTTCGACAGACGCGCGCGCGAGGCTCAATATTTTACGGACGGATCCACGTGAAATAATTGGGACGCGTTAACAATGGACCCGGTCCGTCCTTCCTACCTTTTTTTTTTTGTTCGTTTGTCTTGTTTTTGTTTCCTCCCCGCCCGTGTTTTTTTTTCCCTACCCCCTTTTTTTCCATTTCGACGCGTCGCGATCGAAAAGTTAATAGATACGTGAAATGGCGTGCGATATTCGTTACAGTGCCGCGCCGATTTTATTTGTAACTCGAAAATTCGCTGTTTCATAAAACGAGATTCGCAGATACGTACGTACCTGAAGCCGCGCGCTCTGGCCGGAAAATATTTTTTTCCGTGACAGTTCCGCGGGAACGACGAAAAAAAAAAGAGCATAAAAGAGGGGTGGAAGGGGAGGGGGGACGGCCGGTGATAATCAATCGAAAAATGATTTCGAATGGCGTAACGGACCGATCGCCGCATCATAAATCTTGAAATCTAGCGATTAAGCAGATATGTCTACCTGCCAAAGCGAATATTCACGATTTTTGATATACGGGGACGAATCCGGAATACAATTACGTGCGTGTGTCGAAGCGTGCAACTTGGAAATGTTTCATTGACGTGACCGTTGTCTAAGCAATGCTCGACCGTGATGCTAATTGGTAACTGAATATTCAAGTACGATAAAAATTAATTTAAATAAATAAACGCGTAAATTAACAGACGTATTTATTTTCTCCGGTGCTATACGATATCTCACATTCGCTGAGAGTGCAATTTTCATAATTCTGTATTCAGATATTATCGTCACCTGAGGATAACAGAATAATTGTTAGCTTTATATCTCTTTCCGTCACCGTGATTTTTCCTAATATTTTATAAATTATTCAACGATTACCTTTTTTCATTCGGATCGTATAAAAGTAAGAGAGATAATTTCGTCTGAAAATGCTTCATGGGAAAATAACAAACATGCGGAACGTTTATCGATGGAAAATAATTTCTCCTCTGCACGAGAAAGGCGCAGATTGGAAAGGTATAAACGAGTAGTTACGAATTTATAGATGTTGAATATTTATTCGTATCCTCTTCTGTGGAGTGTTTAATATTTGGTAAAATAATTTGAGTCGGTGTTTTAATAACTGACCCAGGAGAGAGAACATTTCACGTGGGGAATATCCTCCGGACAAAGAAATTATGTATCATGCAGGTGGTCCGCGAGCTCGAAACTATCAGAAAACAAATTAATTTCGGCCTCACACGCGCCTTTCATCGGAAAACCCTGCGTGTTCCACCTCTTTGGTCTGTCATAATAATAGCTACCCAATTCTGATCCTAATTGAACTTTAATTAAATAATTCTCCTATCTGTGCATTTATCAAAGGAAAGGTAGAGAAACATGAACGAAAAGATAAACCTGAATCACACAAACAGGCTATTTAATGCGCACATAAAATTCAAACTTTGTCTGTTTAAAGATTTGCTTAAATCAGCATCTATCAATAATTCCATTACTCCTTCACTTTGAAAGGATAGTATGGAATGAATGCGAATAAAGTAAGAGTAAAAAGAATATAAAAAGAAAAAATTTATATCGCAGAATATATTCCTATTTGTCTAAACCTATTTCTATCTCTATATAAATTAATTTATAATCTGATACGATTAATGAGTCATTTATAAAGAATAAAATATTTACCAATATTACTTATAAATTTATTTAGAAATTCGTATAAAAATAGGAGTTGTGTTGTGTATATAAAAATATATTTGATATACTCTTCTATATTTGAGAGTAGATTTTCTCGCCTCTTCAAAAACCTATTTTTTCAACAATAATAAAATATTTAGATTTATCTATTGCATCGTTTGGTTATCTGTTTGTACACGTTTTATTTAAATCAAAAAATTTCCAAATGGGTGGATTTATTTTTTACACACATACAAACGAAATCCTTTTCCCTTATTTTATTTTCTTTAGCCAGGAACTTCGATTTCGTTATCGCTTGCACGGCGCAAGATTGGTCGTGTCTCGGAGACACCAAGGGTGGTCTACGTCCGTGACCGGAATTAACAAATTAACGTGAGGGCGTTCCGCTGGGAATTATAGTTCGTTTTCTCTCGCCATGTTGACGAAACAGGCCCTTCTCCGTCAGGTCCCTTTTCCGTCCGTTATTTCTCGCGTGCATCGCGTAAAATAATAACTTTATGACGCGACGCTCCAAAATGAAACGGGCCGCGTGAGCAAAAGAAAGGACCGTGGGATAAGGAGGGTCCTGCGAACGTGTACGATGGTGAGAAAGGAATGGTACGAGAAACACAGATGGAGATAAAAGGTGAGCTGAAGAGAAGAGAAGAGGAGAAGCAGAAAAGGGTTGGAGGGAGAGGAATCGTGGCGCAAAACGAAAGAATGGAAACTTAAAATAGTCCCCGCGACTCGAAACGAAGGAAAAACTCATTCCGTCTGCTCGCTCGCAGCCCTGAGCTGCTCTATTGTGAGACGGCCAACTATTGTGTAGTTCGCGGTAACCACGGACCACCGTCGTTCGTCCCTCTTTTCTCGTCCCCCTTCACCCACCGCCGGTCATCTTCTCGTCCTTTCTTTCTTTCGAACCTCCGCAGAATCCACCACCACCGCCAGCACCCTCCGTATACATCATTTCTTTTTGTTCCGACGCAGTCGCGCTGCGAAACGACGCGACAGCCCGTCGAAACGGCGCGTCCTTCTTCCTATTACTTACAATATTCCTTGAGGTAATGTACAGAACGTTGCTCGTTGGATTTCGTAAATGGTGTAAAAAGAAAGGTATTCAATTGCGTATAATGGTGGAAATCCCGTGATTTCGACCAATCAGAAATTGAATCCATTTCGCAAACAAATCACAAATAGCAGACTCAATCACTCTAGTAAGCGCTTGCTGTTATTGATGTATTCTTCGAAATCATGTAATCAGATCTTTCAGATCTTAACAGAAGGAT